GGGGGGGGGAGAAAGATACATATTTGTGTTGAAAGTAAATCCAAAAAATCACAAATAGCCTTAACATTACCATCCATGAAAGTCTGTTCAAGATAATCAATGATCTGAGTGGCCTCACAAATTATGTTTTCCCCGTGGATAAGGACAGGCACTTCTCCAGTTGAGTTCAAACGCATAAACCAAGGCTCATTGTGCTCACTCAGGGGCAGACTTACATCATGTTCCTCGCACTTCAATGCCTTTTCAGCAATTACCAAGCGCACCTGGAAGAGTTCACACTGGTTACTACAGCACACCTAAGCTTTCAATTAAATCACTGGCCTGGATACCACTAAGCAGCTCTCTGGGCTTCCCTGAGTTAACGTTTTCAACATTCTTTTCAACGATTCATATTCCTGGAATTAATAAGTGAGATGTATTCTAGCGTCTTATTCTTATAAATTAGGGGGAGCGGGGGACGAAACAAGTAATGAAAATGGTTCTAGCTATATTCATTGTACTGTCAGCCTCCCCATCACACCACTTTCTTTGCGTCCTAAACCTACTTATGCGTCCTTTCCAGTCAGGAATCTGAACTATGGGTATGTTAGACCTTGTCGAAGAGAGTGAATGCAAGAAAGAGTAAAATAAGTGGATTATACCGTTGCACCGAGGCGCCTGCTCTGCCTCAATGTCCGAGGCCCAGCGGGCAAGGCCTCTGGGCCAAGTACTAAATGTGATGCTTTTTTGTCGCATTTCATGAGTGACAGTGCCTGGGTCATAGCTTCTCCATCTCAGAATGATTCTGCCCGCTCCCCAGCAGACCGCATTGCTGCCCTGGCGGGAGCGCCCGCCTGAGCTAGGCCGGCTGGGGAGGCCGGAGGCCGCGTCCCGGGTGAGCGGGCCGGCGGCGTCCCCGGGCGGTACCGAGCGGGAGCTGTCCCGGTGCTGAACCCCGCCCCGCGCCGCGCGCCGCCGCGCAGGCCTCTACCTTTTGAGAGCTGAAGGAATGTGTCCAGTGGTACAGAATGAGCTTAACCTCCGCGTCCGGCTTGCCTTCCGCCATCAAGGGCGCGCCCGCTCTCTGCTCGTCCTGCTTCCGAGCCATCTCGGGGCGCGTGAGCTCGGCCGGGCCTCGCCTGTCCGCCCTGGACTCCTCGCACCCACGCTGCCCGGCACAGCCCTTGAGGTTTCGCGATGCCTCTCGAGCCGGGAAAGACGAGCTCGCGCGGACGAACAGGCCGCTGGGAAATGTAGTTTCGCCGGCGAGAAAGCGGCGGGCCGAGTCTGCACAGGCGCGGGTGTCCGAGCGCAGGAGCGCAGGAGCCCCGGGAGCCTCTGGGAGCCCCTGGGAGAGGCAGGCAGGCGTGGTTCAGGGGGAGGAAAATCTAAAAATATGAGTCCCTGGTGGATAAGGTAAGGAAAAACGATGATAGCAAACCGCTCATCGGGCTTGGAAGCTGCCCAGGTGTAAAGGCAGCGACCTCCCCAGACACTCGGGCTCCTCTTGGAGAGAGTCTGTTCCTTTGGCGGACAGGAAGTTCCGGTAGACAAAGCACCAGAATGAGGACCGTCTTCATCAGAAGATGCGCCTGTGGAGAAGTGCAGATAAATGAATAAGTAAATGGCGATGTGAAACAGCCTAGTGGTTAAACACATTAATTTTACGGTAGAACTATCTGAATTTATGTTCTTGTGTTTCTATTTCTCCATTTTTGAAGTGGAGATTTTATTTTGGTCATAGGGTTTGTGTGAGAACTAAATACGTAAATAAAGTGTTAAACATTCAAAACAGCCCGCCATGTTGTAGGCACTCAATATTATTTACAGGTTGTTGCCTTACAAACATTCTCTTTGTAGCCATGGTCAGAATCATAATTTTATACGTCTAGTCATTATTGTACACCTCTTAAAATGTGGCATAATAAATTGATAAAATTTTCAGTAAATACGTATAAATAGGACCATGAAATAAATTCTACATAATTCATTTAGTAAATGTTTATTGAGCACTGACTATGTCCCAGGCATTGTGCTGGGTCCCGGGAATACACAGATGTGTAAGAGCTGAAACCTGTCACCCAAGATATAAGTCTGGTGGCAGAGACAACCACTACAGATGTGAGGACTGTCTTAGGGTGAACACAGGGTCCTATGAGAAAGGAGAGGCATGCAGCCAACCCAGGTTGGAAAAGGGCCCATGGAGGAGACGAAATCTCATGAGGTCCTTCTTCCTCTTTACAGCCTTGATTGATGGTTCTTTATAATTCTCTCATAATCTTTAAAATTTTTATACTGTCTTTTTATATCCTCAGTTAATTCAAATGCTACAGAAAAAGTGCCTTTTTTTTTTTTTTTTGCCAAATTTGTTTTTTTCTTATCAGCTCACTCTTAAGAAGGGGAAGAGCAAACTTTAAAATCAGAGAGTGAGATTTAAACTCCAGCTCCACTCCTAACTTGACCTCTCTTGAGCCTTCATCATGTGTAAAATGTGGATTGTATAAAACTATGTGCCTACCCAGACTGCTGTGGGAATTCAATGAGAGAATGTATATAAAGCACTTAGGATATTGCCTGGAATGTAGAAGTAGTAACAGATAAAAACATACGTGTAACAGCCCCTCCACTGACATTAAGAGGACATCATATTACACTTGATCCTCTGTCTTTAGGTCTCAAAATTTCTATGACTACCTGTATAATCCTCCTCTTCAGAAGAATTTCACTGTTAATTCTCCACCTCCAGATTCCCATATACACTGTACAATTCCTTTTTCCTTAATTTACTAAATCACCTCAGTATTTGAATAAACTCAATATTCTTGGTAAGCCATCTGTCACTTGCAGCTGAAAGAGTCCTGACAATAAAGCCCTGGTCTATCAAACACTGAGCACTTTCTCCATCACATCTGCCCAGCAGCAAAACCAAATAGTAAACACCGAATGAACTGATTGATTACTGCATTAGTGTTTAGTACTAAGTACTCATATGTGTCATTGGGAGTGAAGACATGTACAGAGCTTCTGAAGGGAAATTTATCAATATTCATCAAAAACCTTGAAAACAGGCATAACTTCTAACCTAGCAATTCATCTATTTGCAATTTAACTAGGATATAACTGGCAAATTCTGACAGTTGGTCCTAAAAAAAATCTATTTCCCCCTTCTTCCATGCAATAGAAATTTTACATGAACACATGGCTGCTGAGAATAAAGAGTACATTTCCCGGGCTCCATTGCAGCTAAATGTGGCCTCAAAGATGTATTCTAACAAATGGGGTGTCACAGATGTGCCACACGCAGGTACTGGGAAACTTCCTTAAAGGGACAGTTGTCCCTGTGCCCCTTCATATCCCATCCTCCATCCTGCTTCCAGAATGCTAATTTGGACCATGAGGAATGGGGTCACACCCTAGGGATGGCTGAGCCATGAGCTGGGTGGGGGGAGACTGAGCCTCTAAAGACATTAGGAACAGAACTACCACACTAACCTCAGTGTTCAAAACTCCAAGCTTTTACCTGAAGAAGAAACAAAGCATTGGTGGCTTCTATTTCTTTATGCTCTGTATATTCTAATTTTTCTATAATGAATGTGTTGCTTTTATCTCTTAAAGATTTGAACATTAAAGGAAAACAAACAGATGACATAAGGAAAGATGGTGTGTGCCTGTTTTTTTTTTAAATCATGATAGAAGTAGAAGAACCACTACACCAACTCTGAATGATCTATAATCCCTTTTATTTTCCATCCCAATAAAAGCCATTGTAGATAATATAAAAACATTATTATTCATTCACATATTTATTCAGAACTTCTATAAAATTGTCTGTGTATTCTGTACCTGTGTGTTTTTGTACATTATAGCATTATTGTGGGCTCCTGAAGGACAGGAGCCAGATCCAGGTAAGTTTATATTTTCAATATACATTTGGTGACTCTATGTGTCCCAGGCACAGTGCTAGATACAGAAAATATGGAGTTAAAAGTCACAGTCACTGGCCTTAGCGAACTCAAGAATGGGGGGAGAGAAATGAGATTTTAACAGTGTGGTAATTGCTTTGATATCTAGAAAATTATGGTAGGAATATAAAGAAGGCCACCTAACACAGATAGACTTCCCAGAAGAGGTGATAATCTTCACCATCACTCACACAATACTAGCACAATTACCAATATAATCAGTGTTGTGCTGCCACTCATGATAGCTGATGTTAAATTATCAGGAATTTTGCAAGCTGGATGTTCAACCAGCCATTATTAAAAATTAAATCAAATTAAATTGCATTTAACTAAATTATTTTTAAAATAAAGCTAGCAAATACTCAAAACTCATAACTTCCTGATTATTTTATGTTTATTATCATCTATACTTTTGAATTTATTTATGTCTATTATACCCATATGATGGAAATAGTGTATAAGGGTATGCTACTGTGCATCCCTTCCTAATGCCCTGTTCAGTGATATCATGTTAGTAGCTTGAAATTGGCCATGGTAGGAGTATTTATATTATAGATATCAGTAAATGCTGTCATTTTTTCTTTTTCCAGAGTGTTGGTTGTAAAACATTTACCAGCATACCACTCGATGTATCCATCTTACTTAGTAGTTAATGGATCGTTTTGATGATGATGATTAGGAGAACCCTGGGTAAATTTGTGAATACATAAGTTTGTATACTAATCTGCTTTGGGTACCTTTTCCTGTCCCAGTCAGTTTTGGTTCTGCTTCTTTCTTCATTTCTCAAACACCCAATACCCTTATTACTTTTTCATTCTCTTCACTTTGCTTAGAAGAAAGTGGTTATGCACATATCTATCTGCCCACTGTCAAACACTGAGCACTTTCTCTAGCACATCTTCTCAGCAACAAAACCATGAACTAGTAAACATGGAATGAACTGATTATTACACTGGTGTTCAATATTAATACCATAGAAACAAAAGGCATAATGTAGAACTTTTGCATCTAAAGATCTCAGACCACTTTCTTACAATCTCATTTGATCTTCATGATAGCCTATAAAACAGCTACCATCCCTAATTTATAGTTGAGGAAATGACGTTTAATAGCTGAGAGACTAGTCCAAAATCCTAGAGCTAGTAATTGACAGAGCTGTAACTCAAACATGAATATTCTTACTAGTCAAGTATTATTTTCTACTACACTATGCTATCTTTAAACCAAAGAGGAAAAGTTGTGGACTTTCAAGCTTTCAACAGCCTGGCACGGACTTTGTGGAAATTATAGCCACCTTCTTGAAAATTAGTCCACATAGGTGTATATACTTCTATGAGAGCTCTTACTAAACTACTGTCTCTATGTCTTTCTCGAGCATTAGACTCTAAGCCTCCTAAGGGCAAGAACCCAATATTATTCATTTTAGTATCCCCAGAAACCCAGAATAATGCTTGGTACATAAAAGACGCACCCAAATCACTTATTTGATGGAGAAAAAGAGTAGATCACCACCACCAACAACAACAATGAGAAACAACAAATAAAATAATAATAATTGTTCTACAGTTTCTACTGCTGTAGAAATTTTATGTGTAAAGGTATTTTCATTTGACAAAATTTGATATTTATAAACCTGGACTGCGGATCATGGTACTGTAAACTGACTATCCTTTATGTGAATATTTATTGATGTTCTTTATTTAAACATTTCTGAGTGAATATATTTAAAATGGAATTGATTGATGTTGTAAAATAATAAATCACATTACTTCTCTGAACCTAAGTCACCTTACCTATAAAATTATGATTAAAAGTCTATCAGATATGCTGGCTACATAAATCTATCCAGTTTGGAAAATTCCTCAAGATAGACAAGTATTATTTATGAAACTTCCTGTATGTTTTATGCTTCAATAAAGCTTTAATTTATTATTTAGTACTGTTATGGTTGAATGATGTATATATTTATTTAAGTTACCATTATGTGTACCTGTTTACTTATCATATATATTTTGATAGGGATTAGGTCATTCCTATAATTTTTAAATAAATGTCAACAAAGCCAGAGATCTTAAAACCTGACAAGTTAAGAATACTCTAGTTTCTGTTTTTTAGAGTACTTTTATGAATGACCACAAGAGGTCTCTATTAAAAAAAAAAAAAATCCCCTTCTATTTTTCTTTTTTTGACAAATTAGGAAACAGAATGGCGATATTCTCCAGAGAATATATTTTAACTAAGTAAGCTAGTAAAAAACCAAATTTTCCAAAATTAAATAGATCTTTTATATGTTTGGAAAAATAGAATTATCTCCACTTTCG